AAACACTGATTGTCTCAAATGTCATCTCTCCCTTTTCTGAGAGGCGCGCTCACCGTCAAGTGCGTTTCGATTTCTATAAACACACGGAGCAGAGCAGGGCACGTTTCCCACAAGAAGCGACTCCAGCATTTGGCCATGTCAATCACGAGACGAGCCGAAGAGGAAAAGTCAAAGAAAAACAAAGAAAACCCCTGTAACCCCAAAGGGAAGTGTCCGTGTGTACAATATAAGCTGAACAACTCTTGACCTTTCTCGAAATCCGATGAGGGAAACTGTGCAACAGTTCCAAGCCAGTATAGTCTACCGGAGTCTGTCCCTCACCTGCCGGGTCTGCCACCTTCAATAAAAAGGAGGAGGCCATTCTGGTGGAAGGTGCAACTCGGCGCTTGGCTTTTTCTCACTTTGAAAACGTTAAAATTCAAGTAAAAATGCTCTCAAGAGCTGGGACACCATGTCACTCGGTTATAGATCAATAATTTAGAACTTTTCTTAATTTAAGGGAAAAAAAAATCTCCAGGTTCAAGTTTTGCAGACCAACCTGCAGACTAGTTAGTTTTTATTTGTTCACTTTCTAGAAGCGGTGGCACAAGCTTTGAAAAGGCTGAGCTGGAAAACTGCTGATGCCGCCAAAAGCACCATCCCTGGGCTCCTGCTTCAATAACCCGGACTAAGCCCAGCCTGTACTTGGTCCAGGCAGCTGTGAGCCCTTAACAAGGCTTGTTTCCTGAATGTATTAGCTCTCCTGTAAAGTCCCACTAAAGCATGTGCGTCGGCTTGTCCTAATCGCTAGTAGGGTGTGAAAGCGCGTGCGCACACGCGCATGCACACAGTCTCACTCCAAATCCTAGGAAACAAAACCGAGGAGGATATGAGCCACTTCTGCCTTTTTTCTCTGCCTGAGACCTCTCAGAGGTCTGGTCCAGACAGATGGCTATGCTGTCTCCACCTCCACCTCCTGATAAACTCACAGACCAGAAGCTTGCAGGAGAAAGGCAGCTTCTGGCTGCTGTCTCCTCTGACTCCCTCCAGGAGTGCACTCTGGGGAGGAGCAAAGATCCTTTAAGAAAATACAAAGTGACTTACAAAGTTCATGGAAAAACTAATTAAGGTATGAGTTTATTTTGGTGCAAAATGGTTTCAAAACCGATGCATATTGGGAACCAGCAGTTAGCGTAATGGCTATGTCGCTGGACTCCCACGTAGTCGACTGCGGTTCACGTCCCAGACCCGGTGGCTTAAAACTCACGCCGGGCGCGTGTGCGTACGTGCCCAAGATCCCGAGAGGAGAATGGAGGAGAAGGGATTGTGGCGTGACCATCCCCCCTGGGGGGTGATTTCTCGCTTTCTGTCTCTATGTCTCTCTCTGTCTGTCTGGCGAGC